TAGCTCAAGTGCTAGAGTGTTATCTTGAGCAGAAAAGCTCAGGGACATTACCCAGGCTCTGAGTTCAAGCACCAGGACCAAAAAAAAAAAAAAAAAATCCCCACACAAAACTGAGTGAAGAAAGCCAGTACATAGCTATAACCCCAGCTAATTTTGAGAGATAAGGCAAGAAGATTGGGAAATTTGTCTCTAAGCTTTCCATCAGCTTATAGTAAAGGAAAGGCTGTTACAGTTACTGAGTACTCAATGTCCTTATAGTAACAACAGACCAGTGCCTTAGGAGTTTGACATCATTTGTGTTTTGCCAGGTGATTTGGTCAGCCATTGGGAAAGCACAGCTAGACTGAGATGTAATCTGTTTATCAGTTGGCACTCATAGCCAGTGGTTTTTCTCAGGAATGCAAACAACTTCTTTATTTGAGCTGTATCTGTTGCTTATTTCCCTTTGTTCTGTTTTTAGGTGAACACGGTAGTGAGTGGTGCACTTGATCGGCTACATTATGAAAAAGACCCCTGTGTGAAATACGACATTGGACGAAAGCTGTGGATCTACTTGCATCGTGACCGCAGTGAGGAGGAGTTTGGTATGTGAGACCTGTGTACAACCCACCAACTAGATGTGTATGCTTCTGACTTTCTGTTCCAGTTCTATGATTCTTTTCCTTGGCATTAGGCAGGATAGGAACTTGGAGACAGGATCCATACCACCTTTCAAAGCAACCAGTGATACTTAGGGAATTTTCACTGTCATTTATTTGTTTGTTTAATTTATTTGAGTAGTATTGTAATTTCATCTAAGGATCTTATGCTTGCTAGGCAGGCACTCTTACCGTTTGGGCCATGTCCCCAACCCTTTTGCTTTAGTTATTTTGAGTAGGTTCTCACATTAATGCTTGGGCTGGCCTAGTCTGTGATCTGCCTTTTTATGTTTCTCATGTAGCTGACACACATGCTACCACATCCAGATTTTATTGATTGAGATGGTGTCTCACTAACTTTTTGCCTAGGTTGTCCTTGAACTTAAATTCCTCCAATCACTGTCTTTCTGGTAGCTAGGATTATATGCATTAGCCACAGCCCTGAGATTGTTCATTTTGTTTTGAGCAAGGCCTTTGGGTTCTTGTGGATCTTGTATCCTCCTGCCTCAGCCTCCTGAGTGCTGGAAATGTACCACTCTGCCTGGTGAGGTCTTGATTTTTAAAATGAAGCTCCTTTTATTTGTACAATAAGGTCAAATTTGTTGAAGATTACCATTGTTGTTTACAGAGCGTATTCATCAAGCTCAAGCAGCTGCGGCTAAAGCCAGAAAAGCCCTTCAGCAGAAACCTAAACCCCCATCTAAAGTGGTAAGTGATCTCAGGGGAGCATCCACCCTAGGCATTCTGGGTAACCACTTAGCTCTCACTTGGTGACTTAGAAATCTCAGGCTGTGCCTATGGAAGCTTCATGACAGCAGTGGTGGATTCCCATTCTCTCCTCTTCCAGAAGTGCAACAATAAGGAGAGCTCCACGAAGGCCCTCAGCACTGGCCCGTCAGAGCAGAGCCAGATGAGCCTCAGTGACTCCAGCATGCCCCCCACCCCCGTCACGCCTGTCACCCCCACCACACCAGCATTGCCTACCACCCCCATCTCCCCTCCACCTGTGTCATCGGTGAGCAAAAGTGGCCCTGCCACTGTCTCAGAACCAGCTAAGTCTAGCTCAGGGTAAGCACCTTTGATCTTTATTATTATTGTTTGTTGTTTTGTTTTGGGTTGTTCTTTCACTCCAGTCATTTTACATGTATGTCTTACATTTTTGCTTTGTGTTTTACCTGGATTTTCTTTACAGTGTTCTTCTGGTATCCTCACCAACAATGCCACAGCTAGGAACAGTGCTCTCTCCCACTTCCAGCCAGACTCCACCCAGTTCTCAGGCCACTGCAAGAGTTGTGAGCCACTCGGGCTCAGGCACTCTTCCCCAGGTACGGGTAGTGGCCCAGCCTGGCCTTCCTGCTGTTCCCCAGCAGTCAGCAGGGCCAGCACAGACATTGCCACAGATGCCAGCAGGACCACAGATGCGGGTGCCAGCCACTGCCACACAGACCAAAGTAGTGCCCCAGGTAAGAGGGAAGCTGGAAGGTCACTAGGAGACAGGTTCAGTGGGCCCTGAAGTGGGCTGAGAAGTCTAGTGAGCAGTCTGGGGAAGGCCTGGAAATTGTAGAAGATTACTACTGATCATGAAACATTCATTTAATGTTTTAAGCTGGGTAAGCATTTTTCAGTACTCTTATTTTACATCTTGAGAATCAGACCTTCTGCAATGTTTGATGATTTGCCCAGCATTCTAACATGTGGGCCCTGTTAGGAGTGGGATGTAAATGCTGAGATTGGTTGTCTACATCTCAGACTCCTTCCATTGTATCTTAGCACTGTAGCTGACTAGTTGTACAGTTTTAGAGACACTCATATACTCTTTCCTCAGTTTGCTTCAGTATGTGTAAAAGGGCTAAAACCTTGTTTGTCTTTAGCATGTAGGAATAAAAAGATGTTAAATATAAAGTTTTTCTGAAGTTCAAGATGTTCTGTCTAAGAAATTTACAGCATCCATGTTGGGGACTGGTTAGCCTCAGGCACAGAGAGCAGAAATACAGCAGAAGATGCTTCCTGGGGTGGTGACAGATAGGGCCCCTGCTTGCAGTGCTGGGCCCCCTCAGTGTCTGATCAGGCTCTCGGGTTCTGCCCTGAACTAGGCTGTCATGGCCACTGTTCCAGTCAAAGGACAGACTGCAGTGGCCACTGTGCAGCGGTCGGGACCTGGACAGGTGGGACTCACCGTGACAAGTCTCCCTGCCACAGCCAGCCCTATGAGCAAACCAGCCACAAGTTCACCTGGGAGTTCAGCTCCTAGTGCTTCCACTACTGCTGTCATTCAGAACGTCGCAGGACAGAACATCATCAAGCAGGTAGGTGAACTTGGCTCTCGTGTCATAGAGCGACTGGGTCCCCATGGCGCTTGGTCATCTTTGGTCTTTCATTTGTAGTCAATGCAAGTATGAGTTTCCACTAAGGACAGTTATGACATTTATGATTGCTCAAGCGATTGCTTCTGTTTCTTGCCATGTAATTCGGTATTCAGTAAATGGAGCTCTGGATTTACAGTGCAGTCTTCCTGAATTTCTGTAGTTACATTTCTGTGATTCCATGTTACTGGCTTTTCAGTTTACCACTGGCAAAAGTTAATGCCTTTGTTTCTTGTGAATCTGAAAGGATGATCATTGCTCTTCACGTAACTGTGAAGCAGACTAGCAAATACTATGCAGAGTGCTCCTGCTTGCCACACCTCACTGCATTGCACTGTACCACACTGCACTTCATAGCCATTAAACACTTTCATAGCACAATGGAGTAGGCACATTTTGTTGTCCTCATTTTGTAGATGATGAATGGGGTAGTCATATTTATATAACAGTAGTATTTTCACTTAGCGATTATTTATTGTTTTTTGGATTTAATGGCATATTAAGTAAACTAGGTCTCTGCTTCTAGAAGTCACGTTGTCCCTAAAAGAGAAATAACTAGGTTAGCATCAGGTGGTAGAAAACACAGAGGATCAGTAGAGAGGGGAAGGGTAGAGTGAGCCAGGATGATAGGGAAGGCCTCTGAGGAGATGACATTTGAGGGAGTCTGCCATGTATGGTGACTTGGAGATAAAGTATTCCATGCCTAGGTATAGAAAGTGTCTATGTCAGGAATGTGTTTGAGAAAAACCGTGTGGATGGAGCTGCATTAGGGAGTAAGCATGCATGTTAGACCATGAGGTTGGGAGAGGTTGTCAGTGGTTAGACTATGTGGGCTTTGATTTTGATTTAAATGTGATGTGCCACCTGGAAGATTGTGGGCCAGGCTGACTTGATCTGGTTTCCATTAATTTTAGGGACAGTAGGGAATAGAGTACCATGTGTGGTACCCTCACCTTACCAAGTCTGCGTAATGGAGGTGGTGGTTGGAGGTGATGAAATTGAAGGCAGCCATTGTGGTCTGCTGGTATCTGGAGCATATGACTCACTAAAGCAAGTTGAGGACAAGCTGGAGTGACTGGTTAGATGATGGTATTACTTACTGAGACAGGAGAAAATTGAGGTGTAGAGGCTGCAGGACAGACTGACAAATAGACTCAGGCAGGAGCAATACATGTGTGGGATGGTAAGTATGTGAATGTCACTGGGCTAGAAATTGGTAGCTTTTGAGAATTAGATTCCAAAGAATGCAGGGTGAGGAAGCAGAGACAGTGAGTGTAGGTAATTTTTAGAAGAATTTTGCTTCTGAAAGAACAGAACTGGCAGGAGTGGAGTGTAGAGTAGAAAAAGCAGAAGGTGTAGCAGAGCTGGTTGATGGTTTTTAGCCTGACCAGCATCATGGCATGTTTTCATTCTGTGAGTGTGGTTCAGTGGAGGGGCCACCAAAAGAGGAATGGCCTGAGTAGACGGAAAGATAACGTGTTACAAATCAGGGAATTGGTCCTCTATTGAGCTGGTTAGGAAGTCAGGGAGTCTGGTTCCAGAGCATCTGCACAGAGCCACACTGCCATGCTGCCGCAGACAAGGCCTAACTGCAAGAAGACGTGTGAACACCTAGGAAAACATGCGAACACACTGAATGCAGTTGTGTTGTTTAATGAGATGGTGATTTTATTTTTTGTTTTTTCTTACAAGATCTCTTTTGTTCTCATTTTTTGTAGGTTAGATGGATATACAAGTTCTAGTTGGTAAAATAGGGTTTGTGTTAAAATGTTTTCAATTTCTAGAGCTCAATGTGATGTCCTGAATTTCATCTTCAGTATCTCCCTCTCCTGGGGAGTGGGTTCCAGGTCCTCTCTCGCACCCGACCCCCAAAAGTGGGCAAGGATTAATAAAACAAACTTATCAAAGTGATTATTTTTGAAGTTAGGAGAAGGATTTGGGGTTCATTATATTCTCCTCTACATTGAAGGGTGTTTACCATTTTTCAAAGTAAAAAGTCAAAGTATAAAATGTAGCTATAGCCAGGCGCCAGTGGTTCACGCCTGTAATCCTAGCTACTCAGATGGCTGAGATCTGAGGATCTTGCCAGCCTGGGCAGGAAAGTCCGTGAGACTCTTATCTCCAATAAACCACTAGAAAACCAGAAGTGGAGCTGTGGCTCAAGTGATAGAGCGCTCACCTTGAGCTGAAGAGTGCAGGGACAGCTCTGAAGCCCAGAGTTCAAGCCCCATGTCCGACCCCCCCCCCCCAAAAACAATAGCTATGAGCAGAGGTTTGCCTCCTTTTACTGTGTGAGCTGCTTCCTCAAGTGCTTTCTCTCCCCCTCCAGGTGGCAATCACAGGACAACTTGGGGTGAAGCCCCAGACAGGAAGCAGCATTCCAATCACCGCCACAAACTTCCATATCCAGGGAAAGGATGTACTGCGTCTGCCACCATCTTCCATCACTACAGATGCCAAGGGTCAGACAGTACTGCGAATCACCCCAGACATGATGGCCACACTAGCTAAGTCCCAGGTCACCACGGTGAAATTGACACAGGACCTCTTCGGGGCTGGAAGTGGCACAACAGGCAAAGGCATCTCTGCTACCTTACATGTCACTTCCAATCCCATTCACACAGCGGATAGCCCTGCCAAGACCAGTTCAGGCAGTGCCCCTTCCTCCACTCCAGCAGGTACCACCGTGGTCAAAGTGACTCCTGAGCTCAAGCCAACAGAAGCCTCAAGTTCAGCTTTTCGCTTGATGCCAGCCCTGGGTGTGAGTGTGGCAGAGCAGAAGGGTAAAAACACAGTGGCCTCTTCAGAAGCAAAACCAGCTGCCACAATCCGCATCGTGCAGGGCCTGGGAGTGATGCCCCCCAAAGCAGGCCAGACCATCACTGTTGCAACCCATGCCAAGCAAGGGGCCTCAGTGGCCAGCGGGGCTGGACCTGTCCATTCTTCAACAGTGTCCTTGCCCAGTTTGAATGCCACCATGTCCAAGACTGTGGCTGTGGCTTCTGGGGCCACAAGCACTCCCATCAGCATCGGGACTGGAGCCCCCGCTGTGCGGCAGGTCCCTGTCAGCACCACAGTTGTGTCCACGTCACAGACTGTGAGTAGTGTTGTGGTAAAAAGTACCTTTCCGCTTAGGAAACTGCCTTTTTTTTTTTTGAGATAGCGTCTCGCTCTGTGTCCAAGGCTGGCTTCAGTCTTCATGATCTTCCTGCCTTAGCCTCCTGAATGCGGGATTGCAGGTTTGTTGTCAGCATACATAGTCCAGGAAGCTGTTTTCCCTACCCCTCTGGGAATTCCCTCAGAACTGGGAAACCACCTTGTCACCTCATTTTACCAAATAGCTTTATTTACTGATAAGCTTCCCCTCCCCTTTAAAAAACTGTTATTAGAAAGGTGATGTACACAGTTCCATAAATCAGGTAGAGTACATTTCATTTTGGACAATGTCACACCTTCTCTTGAAATCATGATAGGCTTTTTTGTTTTTTTTGAAACACAATTTATAAAAGTGTAATATGGCTGGGAAGTTGGCTCAGTGGTAGAGTGCTTGCCTCGCATGCATGAGGCCCTGGGTTTGATTCCTCAGCACTACATAAGCAGAAAAAAGCCAGAAGTGGCACTGTGGCTCAATTGGTAGAGCACTAGCCTAGAGCTGAAGAGCTGAGGGACAGTGCCCAGGCCCAGAGTTCAGCCCCACAACTGACCAAAAAAAACCAAAGCAAAACAAAAAAGTGTAATATGTGCACATACTCTTCTAAAAATTTGTGTGTGTATGTGTGTGGCAGCCCTGAGTGCTGGTACTGAGCTTGAATTTAGGGCCTAGGTGCTATCCTTGAGTTTTTTATTTCAAGGCTAGCATTCTACTTCTTAAGCTATAGCTTTTAGTGATTACTGGAGAAATGAGCTCATGGACGTTCCTGGAAAACCCAGGAAGCATGTGGAGCATGTGGCATGCCCTCAGGGAGCTTGTGCTCAGGGGAGGGGTGGTGTGTGCTTTCTCTGTGAACTCCTGAGCTCTTCTGCCCATCCCATGCTTGTCTCCCTCACACTTATGATCCATCCGGGTCAGACTCTAGGCTAGGGGCTAAGAATCTGGTGCTGGGCCAGGTATAAATTTATTCCCTGGAAAGCAGCCAAGTATGATTTCTGCTTTTTTAAAAGAAAATATATAAATTGAACACTTAAAGGAAGCAATTTAATTTCATGATAGACACAAAAGTCACCTAAGGGAGAAATAGATCAATACAATGATTCCCTCACCTATCCCAGGGATTACATCCCAGAGACCTCTGTGATAGGTGAAAATCTGCTAAGCAGCAGCATCACATAGTTATTCCTTGCTGTATCGTGGTTCACTGATTCCTACTTTGTGGATTTTCACATGTTGTGGGGGGTCTCACATAATATGTGAGGGATCATTATGTTTTGTTTTTTTTAAAACCTGCAATGCAGTGGAGCCACAAATAAATGAACTGCAATATATATATTTTGGTGCTGGTCCTGCAGCTTAAACTCAGGGCCTGGTTGCTGACCCTGAGCTTTTTTGCTCAGTGCTAGCAGTCTGCCACTTGAGCCATATCTCCACATCTCAGTTTTTGGTGCTTAATTGGAGATAAGAGTCTCAGTCTCAGACTTTCCTTCCCAAGCTGTTTTTGAACCATGATTCTCAGATCTCTGCCTCTGAGTAGCTAGGATTACAGATGTGAGCCACCAGTGCCCAGCAGTAATAAATAGATTTAAACAATAATAAACCAGGCAACTGGTTAATGGACTTTGCTCTTAAATTTTGCTAAATGCTTATAAAGATATGATAACAGTAGTCTGAAATTGCTTCCAACAAATAGAACTGGAACATTAAAGAGGGTGATATATAGAATGACAGCTAACTACCTTATGAGCCATTTCATGAGGGCTCTTTGGACCCAAACCCCTGGAATATTGGAACTTTGGCAGTAATAGGAGGTATATCTATAGAGCTTGCTCTCACTTCTTATCTCTTGTAGGTGGTGCCTGGTGGGTTTTCTGATCTTTTATTCCACAAAAGCTAATTGTTTTGTTTCTGTAGGGCAAGCTGCCTACTCGGATCACAGTTCCACTCTCTGTGATTAGCCAGCCAATGAAGGGCAAGAGTGTGGTCACAGCCCCTATCATCAAAGGCAACATTGGAGCCAAGTGAGTGCTCTTGAGCGGGGAGGAGCTTGGGAGTGGGGCTATACAAGGTGTGTCAGTCCTTGCACAGAACAGGAAGATGCCATGTGTTTCTGGGGCCCCACCTTCATGCCCATTAGTAGTAGTGATTAAGGCACAGAATTCCATGCTGTCTCTAGTCATAAATAGTAGAATGGAGTGAGGAATAATAGTAATAAAGTGGTAGAATAGAAGGGAGGGATATGGGATGGTTAGGCAGGCCTCAGGTATGTGGGGAACCTGCCTTTTCTGTTTAAGTTCTGAACTCAAGATAGTTTGGAGGATAATAGCTTTCTGTGACTCTTAAACAGAGACAAAGGGGTTAGTGAAGACAGTGGCTGTTCAGGGCTATGGAGTTCATGTTCTTTTCTCTTTTTTAAGAGATAGGGTTTTACTGTGTTATGCAGACTCACTGTAAAATCCACCCCAAGTGATCTTCATGCCTCAGCCTCCTAAGTAGCTGGGATTTAGGGTGCCACTGTGCTTGACTGCGAGGGTTTCTTTCAGTGTAACATAGCTCTTCTGCCATCTCTTCTTGCTCTTTGGGGGTTCATTGTTCATGGAATTTTATCCAGCACCATGTAAGCTTCTGCCATGGGAAGCATAGAAGCTAGAAAAAGGGGATCTCTGTACCAAGTTTTATTTGAATCCAGAATGCTGGAATTTTCATGGGCACTAGATCTTCTCTCCTTGTTGTCCTTTAGTGCCTGGCCTAAACTTAGGCTTGAGAGATTATCCTGTGAGCTGGCCAGAACTTATTCCTGTATTATGTCTCTTCTCAGCCTCAGTGGACTGGGCCGCAATATCATCCTCACAACCATGCCAGCAGGCACTAAGCTCATTGCTGGCAACAAGCCTGTTAGTTTCCTCACTGCCCAGCAGTTGCAGCAGCTTCAGCAGCAAGGTCAGGCTACTCAGGTAAGGTCCTGGTTGCAGACTCTTGGCCACAATAGGCTGTTCTGTCTCCTTTGTAATTCTTACCTCTGAGCCCACTAGCAGTCATGACTTAGCCCTTCTCTGTTTGCAAACAGGTACGCATCCAAACAGTTCCTGCATCCCATCTCCAGCAAGGTACAGCATCTGGATCCTCCAAAGCCGTATCTACTGTTGTTGTGACCACAGCTCCATCCCCTAAACAGGCACCTGAACAACAGTGACTGAAGAAGTGGCATCCACGAGAATCCAGGCCTGATGTGTCCTAGTGGAAAGGACAGGAGCAAGGAGGTTGCATAGTTCCTCTGAGCTTGTCTGCTTGTGGCCTTGGTTCCATTGCCAAACTCGAGCCCTGGGGGTCCCCTCCAGAGCTTCTGGGTCTGCTCTCTATCAGTCCAGGAAGAGGGCTTGTTAAAGACTGGAAAGTCACTTAGGTCATACAAGCCAGGGTTTTCTCCTGAGAGTGGGATGCCCAGGGAAGACCTACCCAATGAGAGAGAGCAGGCAGTCTTATAAGCCTTGTTGTATGTGAGGGCTGTACTTTTTAGCTTCTTGTCTTCTCTGTGACTCTTGGTCTACATATGAGTTTTGTGTCCAGAAATTTTTGTGTAACTTATTTTTTTAAAGAACCTATTGTACATCTTTTATGAAATAGAAACCTGGGCTTTAGCCCCCTAAACTGATGAATTACTCTTTTGACCAGAATAAGAGACTGGCAAGTTGATGCCTCTTGATAACTACATGGTAATTGGGAAGCAGGCAAACATAGGAAGTGAGGTAATATGGATTCCCTGAAGTGGAATTAGTTTGACACTAATTCCTAAAAGTAGGTGTTGGGATCTAGATTGTCTGTTACCTGCCAGTGTCCTTCCATCAGGCTTGTTTACATGGAAGTCCAGCACCAGTAGACGAGGAAGTATCAAAGACACTACTTTTTCAGCATAGACTTTGTCACATTTCAGATTGTCCATTCTGTTTTGTTCTAGAGCAGGAGTTGCAAACCAGGCCCTTAGAGTAGGTCACTTACTTTTGTCAATAAAGTTGTAATGGAACACAATCCACAACCACTTGTTTATGTAGTGTCTGTGGCTGATTTTCAGTTAGAAGTCAGGATTTAGTAGATGACATAGAGGCTGTATGGCCCATAAACCCAGACTTGATAGCCCTTGAAGAAACATCTTGTTTTTCTAGCTCCAGTGGAAAGATGAGGGGTAGAGGTGGGGGTTGTGCAGGGTCAGAACTACCTGGCAATGCCAAGTTTAGAGCAGGTCAGTCTGGATTTGAAGTCATCCCTGACTACGTCACTCTTTTCAGCCACTATCGATAGGCAGAGCTCAGAATAGTCTTTTCAAAAGTCATAGTACTTAAAGCACTGATCATTACCAGTACCTTATTTGTGGATTTATTCCACTAGATTTTGACCAAGTGTGGGGTGAAAAAAATTCCCATGCATGCCTTGTACAACTCAGTTAGTGCAGGCTCAGTCAGTCTTTTATTGTCAGTGTGTTTTAACTGTGCTTCCTGAGCATTTGTGGTGTTTCCTCAGTGCCAGTCTACTTGGAGCCAGTTACCTACAGATACCATTGGTCTACTGTATATGCCTGTTGTTGGTCAGGGGCAGGTGGGAAACTTTTCTGCAGTGGTAGGGCTTCCCTGTCTCTTGTGAAAATGCCCAAATTATTAAAAAATTATATTTAATCTCTGAAACTTCAGTGACTTATCTTTTGTGGGGTCTGGTGGGAAAAGTAGCTGGAGGGCATAGATTGGAAATGACATGGTTTAGCTGGAAGCAGGGTTGACTCTAGATGGTTTGTAAGTTGTGGAGAAGCAGAGAAGGGCTAGTGAAGCTTGTGGGTTATGCAGCAGTTTCACAGTTCCTTTGATCCTCATAGCAATTCTGTCAGACACTAGCATCCACACTTTTGAGTGTGGAAAAGAGGTGACAAGACCCTCGGTCTAGACCCAGTGAGAACAGCACAAACCCAATCTGATGGAAGAGAGAAGTTGGTCTTAGGGTTAGTTGTCCTGAGAAGCAAGCTGGCCTGCCTTCATTTGTGGTTACCAAGGGTGACTCGTACCATACCCTTCCTCATGGTTCCCACGTGTGCATTAGCACAGAAAGCCCTGCACGTCCATGAAAAATCCAAATTAAATATCCCTTTAGAATAGTATGTTCAAAGAGCAGCAGAATTTGGGGGCATACATTTCATGTGAGTAGATTGGCAGATGGCAGACGGGGCCTGGACAAAGTACATCAGGAGATCATCATCAACAAGGTATTAATGGAGATCATAGGCCAAGAGGCATATTAGAGAAAAGGGCCATGTATACCCATCCCCAAGGAGTGCCTACAGCATTGTCATGCAACACAGCCTTCAGGATTTCTCTTGGGCAGGCACCAGAGGGAATGCCTAATCCAGGTCCTGTGTGGGGCATTTGGTATGAACAATCATCTGCCAGAACCAGTATCCCTGAAGAACAGCAAGATTGGCTCATAAAAGTTCCAGCACAGGCCAGATGCCGGTGGCTCATGCCTGTAATCCTAGCTACTCAGGAGGCTGAGATCTGAGGATCATGGTTCAAAGCCAGCCAGGGCAGAAAAGTCAGTGAGATTCTTATCTCCAGTTAACCTCTAGAAAACTGGAAGTGGTGCTGTGGCTCAAGCGGTAGAGTGCTCACCTTGAGCTAAAGAGTGTAGGGATAGGGCCCAAGCCCAGAGTTCAAGCCCCATGACAGACAAAAAAAGTTCCAGCACAATATTGTCTCAACAAAGCACTTCAAGGAAGGTAGTGATACTTCCTCCAAATGCAATAAACTCCAGGAGTGAGTAGATGTGCTGGTCCAGCAGGGGTCGATTGTGAACGTGGTAGGAGAAGAGAAAGCCTACCACAAACCAAACGGCAGCCATCAGACTTGCTTGTGTCTGCTTACGAGGATTCACCCTGGACTCTTCCTTGTTATTGGGGTTTCCTGTTCAACCCTCGCAAAGCTAGAGTTCTCATTGTTTAGGAAGGTGGTTTACATGACATGACAGGGCAGTTAAGAGATACAAATACAGTTTTATTTTATGGGTCTGATAAGAGCATTAAAGAATGTTGCTTAAAATCTATAAGACCCATGTGTGGTTGGGTTCTATTTAGAATCAGTAGGGCAGGTGATTGTGGTGCCATTATGTATGTATGTTTTGCCCTCCTTTAACAAACAGTTCAGCTTTTCCTGCTGAAGTTCAGAAGTGGGTGATGTGGTAAGACTACAGGATGCTTTTTCAGGCATTAGGAGTGCTAGGCATATTGGAACATCCAGCAGAAGCTATGTATGTGTGTGTCCCCAAGGCATGTCTGTAAAGGTCTGGCCCCAGGCTGGGAGTACTTACTGGGAGGTGCTCAGGTTACTGGGGGCATGTCTGCAAGATTGTGAGGCCAGTTTTAATGTCTCCCTTTGTAGTTCAAATAGTGACCATTTTGTTTCTATATAAGCTCGTTATAATGTGCTTTCTGCATCAGAGGGAGAACCTACAGTGGCCACCTGATATTGTGGACTTGAATTTCCAAATAAACCGCCTCACAAATACCCTTTCAGGAATTTCATTGAGGGATGAGAAACTTGACTCAAATAGGGGGTCTCCTGAGGTTTGCAATGAGGTGTGAAACATGACACCGCAGGGCATGGGATAGGGAGCCTCAGATTTTCTCTTCCCTATTTTTTTATTACCGTCATGGTGGTATTCAGGCAGCTTAGGGCAGTCACTGTATTTGTGAGTGTGTGCACACGTGTGGGGCAGCAGGACTGTGGGGAAGGTTTGTGCAGCATTAGAGGCTTTGAGGATTACACACAAGCCTCACCCCCATGGGTTGATTTTTTTCTGAGTTTGTTTTTTTTTTTTCAGTTCAACATGTCAGGTTATGACTCCAATGCATCTCGTTCAATATCACCTCATCCATCTATCTCCCCCATTTCTCTCCATGGGCTGCCTTATAGATTATGTCATCTGGACCACCCAGAGCATAGGACCAAAGTCCTGTTCAGGTTTTTAAAGTCCTGAGAGTTGGGTTTTTTCCTGGAGGAGGTTCTTACATTTCCAATATCTTTTGTATTCTGTTCTCTCATAAATTATCTTGTCTATCTTTCCTCCCTTATCTCCGTCCACTGCATTCCATTACCTTCATTGAGTATTGACATACACATCACCAGTCTGTCCACCCCCAAGGGCACGATGTGGGTGAAAAGGTAGGTGAGCATGTCAATGATTCCTGAGATTCCGAAGTGGAGTGCTGCCAATTCATCATCTTCACCCAGTGGTCATCTTGGTAGAGATGGAAGAAGGGCCCATCCCTAACAAGCTGCTCTGCCAGGAACCCTGCAGGGAAGCAAGGGTTAAGAGTGAGGAGGAAGAGCTGCTCCCAGACCAACAGGAGACAGCACAAAACAGTCCAAAGGCACACACAAAGTCCAGATATGGGTGACTTGGCCTATGAGTCAGCATCTGCTTTGCTGCCTGGGGAGCTGCTCCTCAGTATCAAATGGGATGTTTGCTGAAGAATCTCTGTAGACACATGGATGTTGTTTCCCAAATAGGGCAATAGAAGCAGCAATTGAAACATGCACATAGCAGCCAGAATGAAGCAGAGTGACCTCTGAGGTGAAGGTGTGGCTGATGTACTATTTTTTAGGGCTTTCCTGGCAAGTGAGCAGTGAAGAGATCCCAGGAAGAAACAGGACAAATAAAGACTCCAGGCTGATGTGCTGTGATGTAGATTGCTGTGCCTGTCCAGGGGCAGAGCAGCGTCTGTATGTGTGTCCTGAGGTAGACTTGGAGTGAGTGAGTGCTTGCCCTTCCTTAGCAGAGTTCTGAGATCTACAGCTCCTCTGGCCTTCTGTTTTAAAACACTGGCTGAACAAAGTGAAGGGCTGCAGTGTGTGTCTGGCCACACTGTCTACATTGAGGCAGGACTGGGGCCACAAGACTGGTGAAGTTATGCTTCAGGGTTGCTCACAGTTTCATCCCTTTCACTTTTAGCACCGATCTTGCCTTTTTGCCCAGCATTCACACCCTTTCCCTAAACATCTCTTTTTCCGGGCAGCCCCCTTCTGACTTCACATGGAAGGATTGGGGAAGTTGTGAAAATGACCCAGGAAAAGTCTCACTGATACTTAAATGAAAACCTTGTGAAGCAAAGACCCTTCATAGTCCCCATCATTTCCCTAGTTCTCAGACAGTGGGCCTGCGGTGTGGTTTGAAGCTCATGCTTGGAGCTATTGAATGTTTATCCCTTCTACCAACCAAACTGCCAAGTACAGTTTTTCTCACTTTGTTTAGGCAAAGTTGATACTGTCCTTTACCATTTAGACTAAGTGGTCCCAGTCTACTCCAGAAAGAGATTTCTAAAGCCTCATCTGAGTGGGGGTTGGGGGATAGGAGATAGGGGAATGAAGATGGGGGGGGCAGGAACAGCTGCATTAGGGAAAGCTAAGTAAGCTTTGCTTCCTCCAAGGGAAGCTACTTCATTGTTCAGTCCTTCCAGGAAGACTGTAGGTCAAGGGTGACAATAGTAGAAGGCAATCCACAACAAGATTCCTTGTTATCCTACAGATCCATTCTAAGGAAGGATAATTGTTACTCTTTTTTTTTTAATTTTTTTTGTCTTCATTTTTTTTTATTGTAAAGATACTATACAGAGGGTTACAGTTACATGAGTGAGGTAATGAGTACACTTCCTCTTGAACATTGTTACCCCCTCCATTGTTTTCCCCCTACCATCCCCTCCCTCCCTCCCTTCCCCAAGGTTCTTTTTTTTTTTTTTGATTGTGATTAAGTGATTACATAATTTCTAA